TATACGCAATTTGTAACTAATCTATGTCCATTTCGTATACGTATCTATGTACTTAGAGAAATTAATTTAGTTTCATTATATGTCCATATCTTATCTATATATTATAGATATATATAATTAAAGTATTAATTTCTTTTCATTCTTATACGCAATTTGTACCTAATCTATGTCCATTTCGTATACGTATCTATGTACTAAGAGAAATTTGTTTTATATAAAATGGCTGACGTGACAGGGTGCTTTTTAATTGTTTATATCATGTTTTAAATATTTTTAACGTTAAAATATATACAGGTGCATTTTATAAAGAACAACATTACTTAATTAAGGTAAAGAAATGAAAACGATAATATACAGTATATTCCGGATATTAGTATGTCCGTTGTAGGATTCGGTGATGAATATACAGGTTCGTTCTTCACCTTCCGTCACGTAATTATATCTTGATTCAAGAGAAAGATAAGTTTTTTAACTTTTAACATGATATTTATGACTTAAAGAAAAAATATTTTTTTAGGGCGAAACAACCTGGGGCGAACGGGATTTGGGGCGAAACAACCCGTTACCGTTTGGCTAAGAGAGACACTTAGACTATATGGGACCCATATCCACGTGGGAGCCTTAGCTGAGTGCCCCACGGGTATCTCGACACTAGTCTACTCGTTAAACCTAGACTTTTAGGGATCAATACCAATACGTAGCTCCTGTGTTCTGCACAGCCACAGAGTGAGGTAAGTATATATTAAATAATATCGTTCAGCGTAAAATATACTTAATAGTTGTTATCAAAAATATAAAATACATTTCAGAATAATATATATCTACAAGTACTTACTTTTATACTTTTTACCACATAATTGATATCGCAATCATCTGTAGGTAATTAATACTTTAAAGTATCAATTATAATGAACAAATAGGCATTGGCATGTAATTTGTATAAATAGTAAAACGTATCGTTTATTCAGGTCGCCGTCTCCTTTTGACTCCTTGTTGTCCCCTCATTGTCTGCTTGTTAACTTGGATTCCGTAATCCATGCTTCATCTGTACAATTCTAGGAGAGTTTTATAACAGGAGACATGAAACCCATATAGATGTATAACTATTCGTGTGGCAAAATTATTATTACACTCCTCCTGTACATTGAGGCATCCGCGTAATTAATACTGATCGATATACACTCTCTCACAGTATCTTGCACAGGGGCATGGATCGCTTTACTTGTAATGTAAAAAAAATAGGGATCTCCTATACTAATATATACAAAGGGATATTACGACACACTGAAATCCGTTACCCCCTTTTCTGTTTCAGCTCGTGTCAATCACAAATCTTTGTCCATATTGGATATACCTCGGTTGAATATTGAAGACAATTGATTTATTTACAAAATGAATATATAAGTATAGGAGACCCCTATTTTTTTATATTGCAAGTAAAGCGATCCATGCCCTGTGGTATCCTGATTAAGGTTGAGAAGTAGGAGCAATGTGATCGTTTCTATATTTGTATACACCTGTAGGATTCCTGTTGGTTCTAAATATAGTACATTACAGTGTAATGAACCAATGACAACGCCGCATTTCATATCAGGTACAGATTCTAAATATAGTCTATTACAATATTAGAAACATTGCACCACCACATGTAAACACATGACGGTGTATATAAACCGACGGGTACATTGTACCACTGCTACACAATAGAGATCGTCTGCTGTACAGACCACACGTACATCTACAATACACAACATGGTGTACAAATCTGACAAGTACCATGTCCGTTCCGGAAACACCCTTAGAACATGTAATACAAGGTGAGTTTTGTATGACAATGAAAAGGTTCAGTACAGTTGTCAACTTAGCTTCACGAGAGATTTGCATACGTTATTGTTAGCCTATATATTTAACACTGTTATTATACGGTTCCATTTGATGTTTATCGCTAGATGTTATACTAGTTTATAGTGAGATCTGCATGCTGTTTTTACAGTTGCAAATATTAAACATCAATATTTCTTATGTGTATATGTTTATACATATATATTACTTTTAAGGAATAACATTTGTTTGATTAATGTTGGAAGACTAAATTGCCATTTCCTTTTTTTTTTAAATTGACGAAAAGATCGAGCTTAAACAGGACGGTCTAAATTCAATAACAAAAATATATATCAAGTGGTTTTTATGCTGCAAATGTATAAAGTACATATGGCTCAGATTTAGGTACAACTCCAGTAAATATAGTACATCAAATGTTGTGGAGAATGAAGAAAACCCTCACCAAAGCAATTTCAGTTTAGAATGTAATCATACCGTTTTAAAACAGTTTGGCTAGAACACTAATTGTCATTCTTTACGGAGTGTTCTCGTTCCCTCCACTCGGCCACTTGACTCAGAACGACAACTCTGAGTAGAGATTGGAACCTTGTACCTATGTTTAAAAAATACGTGATTTTAATTACCTATCCATCCTACTTCAATAACGGTATATAGACCATATCATCCATGTATGTTTCGAATATATGACGGAAACAAATTAATAAAAATATCTTGAACAAAAAACATGAGAAAATATCTTTCGTGCTCTTGGTTTTTTATAAGGGGTGAAATAGTATATGAAAAGAATCCTGATTCTCAATACATTTGGAAATTTATAATTGCTTCATCAACAAGATGTGTACTTGACTAAATATGTTATCAATAGCAAAACGTAATCCCAACATATATTAAATAAATTAAATAATCATCTTATCTTTCGGTGTATCCTTATTTAGTCCTGGCGACATTTTAATGTATTTGTTTTGCACGACAGGGGCAGCCACCTGTACAGACGACAGTCGTTTCTGGTTCTCCAATCTACGGACGATCTCAACCCAGCTGTCTTGGATGACCTTGGGTTAGACAGAAACAATGTCGCGTACTCTCTCAACAAGAAAGGACGATGGCTGGTACCTCAGATTCTGAAACACGAATTAAGCAACAGTGATGAAAATATCAAAGTGAACCTTGTCGAATCTCATAAGCTGAAACGAAAAATCAAATACACAGGATTTCATTCCAATGACGGCTTTCCGAGAAAGGTTTCACCTAAAAGAACTTACTTTGACTTGAACAGCCTCAAATGCAAGACATCAGCTCCGACAGTTACAGTAAATATTGTAACTCCGTGTCCGACAACGAGCTCACTCGCACGTAATCCAAAGTACCTCGATTACACACCGACACACAAGGGTAATGATGACACGAGCGAAACTTCCCACAAAGAATCAAATCCTATGAAAATCAGAACAAGCACACAACGAATGAAGATGTTCATGGACACGGAAATGGATGAGTGCCAAGAGGAATCTGAGTATTCCGAGCACGCAGACGATGACATATATCCTGACGAGGAAGCTTACAAACCACGTCCTACTACTGTGTGTGTCGGAGACATCCTCACTCATTCTAAAGACATGCAAGAATTACTCTTCAGAAAACTGGACACGTCTCAAAGTACAGATGTCCTGAGAAAACCCTACAACCAACACCCACTTACAGAAGAACGAGAGATGGAGAATGGAGCGACAGGGGGTCATTCAACGACACGCCCTTCATTTACTACTTCAATGCCAAGACATATCACTATCTTCATACCTAACACAGAAGTGCAAACGGGACATCTTCAGGAAGTGTTTGGTGAAGATTATATCGAATGTCGCTGCTTTCCACGTAAATTCGTCATTGACATCACCGAAAAAGTAACAAGCACGATTTTGAAATTTAAAGCTTTCCAAAATAGAGACATGAAGAGAGTTGATTTCTCAGCAGTCTTGGTCTTTGCTTACGATATGTTTGGAAGTCTCGACAGTACAGACATGGACTCATTCAAAGTCTCCATCAACATGAAAACAACGCATTCGTGCCTCAAATTGGAAACTCTTCCTGAAAAGGGTGTATTTGGAATTGAACAAATAATTCAGGGGGCTATATCATATATCGCAACTATCCCCTGTGACAACTTTGTTTCTAAGGATATACCGTCATTCAAAACCATACCAGCTAAAACAAACCACAATATTTTGAAATTGTGTAATACAGAGGTTACATCCGTTTTCCCCGAAAACATCACCATCAGAGACATACTGAAAGAAAACAGAAAGAAACATGATACATCGATGGGAAATGTTGAATTTGAGTCACTTCCACCTGATACTTGTTCTATTTGTTTTGAATCCATTCTCAATAGTCCAGCGACCGCCCTACAGTCCTGTGGACATTGGTTTTGTGATAGTTGTTGGAACGATCATGTGATCACGACAGCCGGTTGCAGCACAAGGCGAATCACATGCCCAGAATATAAATGCCAGTCTACTGTTGATTATGACATCTTGCTCACAACATCAAAAATGCAAATAGTGACAAAAATGTTTCAACGTCTAATTGACAAGGAGACTGACAAAGAATCTAGCTCCAAGTGGTGCCCAAATAAAAAGTGTGGACGTGTTATTAGATCTGAAAACAAGGAAATCGGACAAATCATGAATGTCACCTGCGAGTGCGGAACAGCGTTTTGTTTCGATTGCTTACAACCAGTTCATTGGCCACTGTCATGTAGAGACCACGACAAGTACTTGGAGAAATTAAAGAAGCACGGATATATTGACAAGTCAACCAAAACTGAAGAAGTTTTCACGTTTACCGTCCGAGGAAAGCGCTGCCCTGTCTGCAATGCTTTCGTTGTAAAGGAAGGTGGTTGTTTTTCCATGATATGCGTATGCGGCACTAATTTCTGTTGGGGATGTCTCAAAACAATTGATGATCATCCATCGACGCCTTGTTACCATGGTAATATGTATAGTACTTATGGTGATAATTTTCGAACAAGAACAAAAAAGATTGTCCAACACATCAATGCCGGTCACAATAATGACCAACCGGACTGGTACAAACGCGCCGTGATGATTCGCTCTTGGCGCAACCTTTCCAACGTGAAGATTATGTCGTCTGCTGTTCGAGGTATGTGTAGAACACTGACGTCATACAAACGACGTCAGGATGCAGGGATCGGTGCAGAACTTGGAAACTTTGAATTGCCCGAGTCGCTCAAGCACACTTGTGTAACGGATAAAATCCACCCATTCCTTACGAGTATGATCGGCGTTTATCTGGAGGCGTCTCTCATCTGTGAATACACCACAGTCTTCCTAGAGATATGTCAAGATCAAAACATCATACAGATCCGAGATTGTCTCCAATGCCTTACTAAAGAAATTCACACGATTTTTAGGGTGTCTAACAATGTAGATTTGAAATCATCCGTCACACGTCTTTTTCATCTTCGTAATGAATGTGAAAAAGTAATTAATAAATTGGTTGACACAATGGAGTAAAATGTTTTAAGGATCGCTGTACCACTGTCCAAAAGTGTACAAACGATTTTACTAGCATAACTGTAGCTCGGATAATTCATTTCTGAAAACAAAATCATACCTTGCAAAACTTAAAAAAGCAAATAATCAAAATGAAATATACAAAAAGAAATATTAACAATGTTTTAAGTGATGAAATACAATGAGACCGGACCAGAATTCGAACCCTTATCCTCCAGCAACTATACTTAACGTTCTAACCAGCTCACGTACCTGGTCAGTGGCCTAGTCGCCTTACAGTTATACATATAACTAAGTCCAATGGAGGATACTGTATGACAGTTTGTACAGAAACTTACAGTGAAATTATCCAGTGAGTGTCTTCAGTGGGACAGGGATCCTTAATAGCGATTAAAATGTCAATGTCAATGTCTTTCAACAAAATGATGGAGTATTTATTAATGAAACAGCTTTTACTAAGACAGTATAGTATTCGTATATACTCCCGTTGAATGTCATTGCTTTTAAATTGTTTTATCAAATGAAAAAATAAATAATGAACTTTTATTGTGTATTTTGATTTTATTTATAAGAATAACGGCCACATGCGGTTATGAAATCAACCTGTTATTCGCAAAAGTTATTTTTGTTATCGAAAGAGGTCAAAGGTCATTTGTCCTTCTTCACAAATTTCTAAATTATGTTTGACAGTATAAAACATTAGAATCGCAAGGTTCATCCTAATGAAAAATAGAACATGTTCATCCAAAGAATCGAAATATTTGCTCTATATTTTCATTTGCTTTGCATCCTTCCATTGCAATGCATTTAGAAGGCAAGTGTTGTTATGAGACTAAAACAACCATTTAATATTGTGACGTTATCAATTTTATTGTTGTGAACACTTAATTGGCTGTTCAAAAGCTGTTCGAAATAACTTATAATTAATAAAGCGTACCTACTCTATCAAAATGTAAATAAATAAATAAATTACTAGAAGACTGTAAAGTACTCACGAAGTTACTAGAAGACTGTCAAAGTGTCACGAAATTATTAGAAGACTGTCAAATTGTCATGAAATTACTGAAAGACTGTCAAATAGTCACGGCACGTAACTTCTAGAAGACTATGAAGTAGACAGGAAATCAATCGCTGCATGAAGAGGTAGTGAGACTAAAGAGGTAGTGAGACTAAAGAGGTAGTGAGACTAAAGAGGTAGTAAGACTAAAGAGGTAGTAAGACTAAAGAGGTAGTAGGACTAAAGAGGTAGTAGGACTAAAGAGGTAGTGAGACTAAAGAGGTAGTGAGACTAAAGAGGTAGTCTAAAATTGCACGAAAATAGGTTATATTTGTGAAAAAACGTTAAAGATCGGTTTTTGCGTATCATTATTACATTGGAGTGCAATGCTTATTGTCACGGTTTTAAAGTGCATATATTGTACTTCATATCAAATAAGTCGGGAAAAAATCATTTCGTTTCGATACGTATTTAAATTTCCTCTTAACGGGGTGCAAGCTAACGAGTGGCATTTTGTTTTGTATAGGACGAGTCTACAGTTACAAAAGAGTTTATGTTTTACCTTGCCTCTCCCCTTTTATTTACAATTTATATTTTTACTGTTTCTTTATAATCAGAAGAAGCCATATCATAAATAACAAGTACAGTCACAATTGTTGTACTAATATTCACTGATCGAAAGTAAGTCCGGAACAACTTTTAATTTAGCTTCTATCTTGATAAATTTCTTTTAGTGCTAGTATATATATAACAAAAGTAGTTCACAAAATACCCACTTTAATGATTTGAATCGTGTAGATCAACAAGCAGAAACACAATTAGATATAAACTCACTTCTAAAACACACACACATATGTAGTTGAACAAAATACTAATATGATTAAATCATGCTTTTAGCATCTTAAACCTAAAACATTGGAATAGTAGGAATATGTATCATATTTTGTTAATTAACTTACATTGTCAAGGTTTTTGTAACGTAAGAATTTAAATCGCAGGCAAAACAACATACACACTAAAGTACTGAATTAAAAAGAGGTTAATGTATGATTTGGAGTCAGGTGTACCAGAAGTAATATGGATGGGCGCCGGACAAATACTGCTTAGCTTTTCCTGAGAAAATAGGCCGTATAATTACTTAGTGTGTTTTTCTTCAGAAGAACAGTTTATGTTTGATTTTATGTTGCATCAGATGCTTGAGCGTGCACGACAAATATGACTAATACCGGTCAGGTGTGGATTGATTTGACCGAGGTGCTTTGTTTGGCCAATACACATTTTACAGGAAAAAGAATTGAACGGCATTTTTCAAAATGTTCATTCTGGTATAACGCATGTTTTGCCATGAAGCCCGTTAGAGCTTAACAGTTTCTTTGGAATAGGTACATGCAACTTATTTGCGTTTATATCGTCATGAGCATAAACAGTACCGTTCAATTCATATATTTACATTTTAATTTTTTACTGTCATTATTAATCTAAATACATTCACTTACAGTTTTGATATATAAGTGTCTGTATCGTCAATGAAAACGAGATTCCTGGAAAAATCTAACGTCACCAAAACGTTTGCTTTAGCGGTTGTTTCTCGTTATTCAAGGCAGATGAAGAAGCTGTCACACTGTGTTCATAGCCCTTGGAACGCAATTTCTTTCGACAAAGTTGCTAGAGAAACCGTGGAAATGTATATTTTAAAATAAATGCGATATACAATGTGTATGAAGCTGCTCTTCCCTTTCTTTTAGCCATGTCATATCATAAAAAATGCCTTGAAAACGTAGAATATTATAAGGAAGATATATATACCATATATACCGCTATGGGACATTACTCGACTAGCCAGTGGACCCGATATTGTTTATTGTTTATAAACAAACATAATCACTTAATGTACATTGCAATGACGACAGTAGCTGCTGATTAACCTGTAAAAAGTCAACCGGTGTACATATGAAATGTTATCATGGCATTAAGTTCCGTATTTGGTGTGACCTCAAACTTCAAAAAAAAAACACCCATCAACGACATAAAATGTCCGCAACGTGTAAATCGGTTTAAAAGAGAACAGAAAAACAGCAAAACATTATCACAGTCTGCAGCCAATATAAAAGAGAATGGAAATTCCAAATTAATTACTTATCGCCCGCTTTTCTGTGGGATATGGAGAAAAAACCGCCTCAAAAGTTAAAACACAATATTCAAGCTTTACAATTGTCGGATTCCGAATATCACAATCTTTCAAAGACACGTTTCAAACGGTCGATGTCTGGTCCAGTTTGTCTTTCTATGATTCACAATCATAAACCTTTCAACATAATCGCATGATATATTTGACAGATGATGTATGAAAAATTGTCTAAAATTTGAACCGAAACATTGTCGTGATTCCTTTATTAATTTCCGAACGGCTTTGACATTTGTATTAGCTAAACAGAGGTAGAGGGATCCCGAACGGAGGTACAGTTATGAAAAACCTATGGCACGAGGAGTGTTTTATGAAACCGTATCGCACGGTTGACAAGAAGACGCATATTTAAAAATACTTACATTATGAGTAGACATTTGATAAAAACAAGAAATCTACCTTACTTCAGTCTATTTACTTTTCAAATATGAGTTGATGATAGAAATGAAAAATGACCATTCCAATGCAAAAATTATGCCAATGTTCTAATATTCATCATATGTAATTTAGTATGTTGATTCCTAAGCTGCCATCTTGAAATTATATCACCTTTTTATTGTTATATATAATAGAAAGGGCTTTGTATAAATTGTATCACATGTACCCAATCCCATAGCTATCATAAAGCAATAAAATATGTATATAAACCAAACAGTATGAGCAAAGCCTATTTTTTTCAAGTCCTTTGAATTTAATTTTTATAATTGCAATGCATATACATTTGTAAGAAATTTTCCAGTTATGAAAAATAACAATAAGTCAGTAAAAATGCAAAATGGAGAAGTAAAATATCCCAAACATTAAAAAAAATCTTAAAGTTTTGAGTTTTGCAGCAATCAAAATTAAATATGAAAAGAATAAAAAATTCAGTCAATGCGTAAAATAAGACTGTGCCGTATATATTCTCAATGCACTCGTGATACATAAGAACTGTAGTATATAAATATACACATTTCTATAAACAAGATAGTTACATCGCTATATAAGTGGATTCAATCAATATATTTCCAATTGTAGCTTTCCGTCATTCGTTCAGATTTCAACGAAAATTATGTTAAAATAATATACAATTAAAGTGCATTATAATGTTCAACAATACATCTCTTGTGTTTAACTACAGACGTGACAGCTAAAACGAAGATTTGAGTAGTGATATCTAGTAGTCAAAACTTTCTTTAAAACATAATACAACGTTCAGATTTCAACGAAAATTCAGTTAAAATAATATACAATTAAAGTGCATTATAATGTTCAACAATACATCTCGTGTTAAAGGTGATGTGAGGTCTTATATATTTAAGGGAATGGCAAAAAACATAACAAATATCAAACATCAGATATAATATGACAGCATTATCTTTCAACAGTTTGTCAATAGTCATACACTAAAATATGAATAACAAAAAGAAACAATATCTTACGTATGCTTTATTTTAAAATTGTGTATTATCAAATACATCATTAATGTATTTTAGTTGCTTTTGTGTCATTTATAAGTTGAAACTGCCTTCTTTCTTTCCAATCTTTCGGTGCCTATATATGTCTTCTTACAACTTAAAATGTTTTCTCTTTTTCTAATTTAACTTTCATTCGGATATATAAATGTAAGAAAGCATAATTCCAAAATTGCATAGCTAAAATATTAATATATTATCAATTTTATACATGTACATACCACCAAAAACTATGATTTATTGAGAGAGATGCAAAATATGTAGGTCTGGTCTAATCATGTGTATTTGTAAGAGAAGTGAAAGGGCAGAACATTGTTCATGATAAAATCGTGTGCTTATCAATGGATATGGCTTCTCTTTTTTAATTGGTAAAAAAAAAATGAAGAAAAAAATGTATACACGCACATTCATCATGGTCTACATCTTCATACCAGAGACACTGAATACAGTAATGCTGCAAACGTCTATTAACTCATTTACCACTGCAGACACGTTTGAACTCTTCCAATTCAATGGTTGGACTAGTTTATTATGAAGTATCAGGGGGGAATGAGTTAAATAAGCTGGGCACATAGTCTGGAGGCACATCATAAACCACTTGCACGCTCTTAGAAAAGTAATTTAAAGTTTACAAAATTTGTATATATTTGTTTTAATTTAAGCTTCATTAACCTTTTACACGCTAGGCAATTTTTTTAACTTAATAATAAAAGATAGAAGGGTCTTCTATATCTTGTAGTTTCGCACCGCTTACTATAGGATTTGCCTTTTGTTTTGATGTGGCAAATGTAACGCTTAACAATCTTTTAAAGGTCCACAGTTACGATATGGGACGATTTTATAAAGATGTTTGTCATTTACTAGATATAATAGTGCATGATATCACATCGGTTTCAAAATTGACCTTGAATGATCTGTTGGTCCATACTTAAGGCACCGAAATATACGTGCTCGCAATTTCAATTTTGAAAACCTCCTTCGTTTCATATTATATTTACATTTTTAATTTTCATGAAATATTATTAATTTTCCATGTATTTAAAAAAAGTATTAGAACCTGTTAAATATGGAGGATATTGAAGCAGCGAAGTTAATATTCACAACTTCATAAAAGTGTTTCAAATCCTAGTCGTGAACCTTATCGTCATTCAGGGTCAAATGTTGAATAACAAAGTAATGTATATTTCAACATAAATGATAATTATGTAGTAAACTCTTTAAAAAAAATACAATACAAAATCCTTCAAAATTCTGGATAATTTATTAAGTGATGGACTAAAATACATGTTTTTTTTATACTTAGGGATTAACTGTCGACTTTCACTAACTCAAAATAATTTGTATCCGGTTTTCTAAACGTGAATTACATTTTTGCTTATTCTTACATAAATATATCAGGTATTTATCATGATGCCAGCTTTAAAACAACCAATAAATAATAAAAAAAAATTGTTCTTTTAACTCCTTAACCCCACGTTTAATCAATATATTTTGATATTTAAAAAATACATCGCAGATGTTTACTCTAAATATCAATATAATAATATATGAACAGAATATAATTGTCTTGAATACATCGTTTTCATAAAAAAGAGTCCAGGATGTACATTTCGTATAAAAATACCGAAGTGTCAACAAAACCATTATTTGAACTCAAAATCGATACAACTGGAGCAAAATATGAACAAAGTGAGATATATGTGGAGACACTTTAAAAACATACAAAGCGAAAAAGACCAGGTGTTTCGGAAGGGAAAGCGTCTTCTGAGTGTTCGTGCTGCTCCACAGACAACATTGCTAGTGATTAACACTTAAGTAGTTTAACCAAAGTGTCCATTGCCTTTTTACATTGGAATCGAAGTTTCCAAAGATGTGGAATATTGACTTTCATGTTCTCCTTGCTAGAAGACCGGAGCACGTGTAGTATTCCGTCCCCGATCGATGCCAAGCGATCTCTGGTTATTATCACAGCCTGTCTAGACGATCTTTTCAGATTGGCAACATTGTTTGACCTCTCTAAGAATACTGTGGTCAGCTCACATATGTGGCTTATTTCCGTGTACACACCTACCATGCTGTGTAGAAACGGTTTGATCTTGTCTGCCACTGTCATCTCATCTGCAAATTTTGGCACCAAAAAGTCCACTAATTCTCCACCGACACGGTCACCATAACGTCGATTGAGCATTTTCAGTGACGTTGACATTTTGTGTACAGCGGAAGTCATAATCCTGACATTTTCTGCTTGGCGTAGACATCGATACTCCACGGCCCTTTTGTACCCTTTAGTCTTGTCGTTGATACTTGGAACGATTAGTGCCCTCTTTTTGGTGTTGAAAAGGTCTCCGTTATCCCGTGGCCTATATCTACGTGGTCGGCATTCTTTGCTGTTTACGTGGTTTTCGAAGGATTTGCCACAACCCCAACAGAAACTGCATCCACATCTGCAAGTCATGTAGAAACAGCCGCCATTCTTTTCCATGAATTGCTTGCATTTTGGACACTCCTTTCCCTGTGCAAACCGAATGTAGTTCACATCCGGCGCACTTTCGTCTCCATTCTTCTGTAGTGTATGCGAATAAGACCCAAAGTGATCGCACGAAAGGGGCCAGTGTGCCGGTTTCAAACATTCAAAACAAATATGTGTTCCACACGAACAGGTGATATTCGCCCGTTGTCCCATAGCGTTCTTCTCACATTTGATTGCACGTCCACAGTGTTTGTTAGGGCACCATTTTGAGTCTGGGTCAATATCGACTTTCATCATCAGTCTTCGTCGAAAAACGTTTTCTACGACTTCTATGTTTGAAGTTGTGAGCAAAATAGCATAATCAATAGTAGACCGACATTTGTATTCCGGACACGTAATTCGTCCTGATCCACTATTGGCTACCGAGAGCAGATGGTCACCCCAGCATCTATCACAAAACCAGTGACCACAGGTCTGTAGGGCGGTGGCCGAACTCTCAATGGCTTCACAGCAAATGGAACAGGTATCCGGAGGAAGTGATTCGAAGTCCATCGCTATTAGTGACTCTGCCTCGTCAATGTCTTCTTCTTTTCTCTGAAGAAGGTCTTTCACCGTGACACGAAGGTGAACTGGGTCAATTGACACGGGCTTTGTCCCTCTACTTTCTGCTAACATCTCAAACTTTGTAGAAGCCTGTCTAGTATACGGAAGAATTGAATCTCTGTGTATAAATTCGTCACATGGAATTGTTTCTATGTACGATACCGCTTCACTGACGATGTCCTCTACGCCAAACACACTGTCTTCTCGAAAAGTGTTGATTCTGGGGACTATTTTCTTTGTCTTCATGTTGAGTAAGATTTTGAACCTATCTGCATCGTTGTTGTACAAACTACCAAAGACGTCATAGACAAAAACCAATACTGTGGAGAGATCAGTAGTCATAATATCGGTATGGCGGAAAGCTTTGGACTTCAGTAGCGTTTTCTGAACTTCTTTGGTGATGTCGATGATGAATTTTCTTGGAAAACAGCGGCATTCAATGTAGCTCTCACCAAATCTGTGTTTCAGCGTTTCTATCGAGACTTCATTGGTAGGGATATTGACACCGACATACTCCATAGGAGAAGTTGTTTCTTTAATGGCCATGCTCTTCATCTCTTCTTTTTCCACCGCTTTTTCTTCCTCGTCTTGCCTGTTTATGTAAATAACCCTGTCTTTTGTTTCTCGTCTAGTTGCTGGATACTTCGATACCTTCGCTCCTCCAGACAGAATACTTTCAATTCGTCTTGAATGAACCAGGATATCTTCGACGGATACAGACTTGGATGGCTCACGGACATTTTCAGTAGAATCGATTTCATAATCCTCGTCATCATAGTGCTCTATTTCGTCCAAATAGTTGTCGACCCATTGTTTTGTTCCAATTTTCCTCCTCTGTTTCCTCGATTTGCTCTTGATCGGACTGCTTTGTTGCGTTCTGTCAATATCATCTTCATCTAGCCCATCGGTAGGTTAGTCTTCATACCGGATGTACTTAGGATTGTGGGCAATGGAACTCGTGGCAGGGCAGGGGTACATAATATTGATCGTCATGTGAGGTGTAGCGCTAGGAATAGCTTCTTCCTTTTTTGGACCTTGCAAACTTGCCACATTGAAGTACGTTTTCTTTGGTACCGCTTTTTGTAAAAATCCCTTGTTAGAATGGAATCCGGTGCATTTCCCTTGCTTCTTCAACTTATGGGATTCGACTAAATCCACCTTGACATCGCCGAGGTCTTTGCTGTCGGTGAGAATTTCCTGCTTAAGTATCTGTGGTATCAGCCACCTCCCCTTTTTATTGAAAGAATACACGACGTCATCTCTGTCCAACCCAAGCTCTTTAAATATTCCGGTTACGTTGGTAACGTTCTGCGATCGTCGCACCAAGCATGACTGTCGTCTGTATTGACGATTGTACCTACAATGACAGAAAAAAAACCCAGTAATATTGCTATTTCTTAAAAACACATGGATTTAAAACTTTGTAACCTTAATTAAACTTGTCAAAAGAAGAAGAATTTTGACTATAGAAAGCATGTGATTACCTTGCCGTGTGGTTCTCTGGCGCTCTTGAAATATAGTTGATGAACTACAAACCTAATTTTAATTTTAATGAAGTAGGCGGACACATATGGTAACCTTATACATTAAACTTATGATAAAATCTCTTTTAAAACACGTTTTAATTGTCATTGTGTTATAATTGTTATTAATTGAGAATTATCAATTCCAGGACGTGTCAACATACACGGGGAAAATATAGCGTCAAATCTGGTAAATATAATAACGGTTGTGTTGGAAAGTAATAATTAATTTAAATTTAAATAAATCAATTTTGAAAAAAAAACACCCGTTAAATCATATTAAGATGTAGCAATGTGTGAGGGTTTTTATCCTCTTCAAAATACATGCACTCTAAATAGAAATTATGTTAGATCGAGAGCCTATAATCTCAAAAGTATACACTTAAAGCAGTGAAATATCAAAAATCGTACAAGCATTTTTGGAAAAGTTTGTCGATCAAATTATGTACTCAAGAACAATAATACTGCAGATGATTTCGAGTAATACCCGCTTACTGTATTCTGATCGTTGTTATACAGAACCTATACTACTGACGTTTCATGTAAATATTTCCTGCGGTCAGGTGTTGAGGACAGTTAACTATTATACTATTCAATGTATTGTATAATTATAAACCCATATGAAAATGTTGACAGAGCAATTTAATTCAGCTATATATGCATTACATTTTGAACTAGACATTACTTGCCCCTTCTACGTCTCTGGTTTACTTGCTATGATTTTAAGATAAGATACGACGTTTTTTTACCATAATTAAACTATTTTTGTTACACTGTACCTGTTCGCTCCGTTTCAAGATTATATCATGGGCCTCAATATATACGCTATATATAACGTAGGAGAATCCACCTTTCAGACAAAACCCTGCCCTGGACCCGCTCCTATATCCACTCCAAACAAGGGCTAGCTATACGCCCCTGAAAGTTATCGGTAGGACCACGGAATTATCTAAGTCCGTGATAGGACATTACACAAAAAAGGGTATTGCATATATAAACTTGTCCACACGGTTAGATTTACTTCTTTGCCCCATATATATATATATACGATATTTAAGGGTAAAGTCCACTATTTTTATGAGCCTCAATATATATACGCTATATAATACAGATTACTGTCGGAAAAAGCTAAAAAAAAACCCCGGCTTACCTTGAATTGGACGCTCTGAGAGTGTTCCCCGAGTATACTCGACGTTTATCAATTTTGAACACCATGATGATTGTCTGTCCGAGCGTACCTGTAGACAGGGAAGGTCCAGTGGTCCTAACTCAAGCCCTATGTGCTATACTGTATATATATAGGTAACCGTGTCGCGTGTTTCCGACGAGTGGTGCAATAAGCATCTATTTATAGCCGGTTACATTATCACTAACCTGAATTACCCAGCCGCATTCTTTGTATAACCAACAACAAAGTGAGGTCACATGCGTATTTGCATTACGCATAGCCAATACACACGTCACCTATTTTACCTACACTGTATAACATATTATATTACAAAAGAGAACAGATATTGTGACGGTGTTTTATTGCTTTGTACCTTGGCAGAATTAGATAGCATTAGTGATATTTTATTATTATCATTATTTTTTTATTTTAATTAATAATTATGCAATTAAAGTGTTAGTAAATAACTACACGTATATAACAAATTAATAGTATGTGCATTATTATATTAATTGTGTAATTAATTGTCAATCATTTATGTTGATATATGCATCAAACCCGCGCTAGCGGCTAAGCCCGAGTTTCCTCTGACCCTAACACCAGACTTGGACATTTTGACCGATATATGTCTGGTGTGGGACATCTATCTGTCAAAATGTCATAAGTCTGGTGTACATGTTAGGGCCAGAGGAAACTCGGGCTAAACCCGTGCATGACGTGACCGGTTAATGATCGCTTGCAAACGCACATTACTATAATCTATTATACGCTAGGTGTATTGACACGCGTTGCTAGTACCTGTTTATAAACGGAACTCAAAGATGTGTTTATAGATCATTTTGTTTTTGTGATTGGACACAAGTTACTGGTGATAGATCTGTAGACGGACTCTCTGATGACAATCGACCCAGTGCAGTTCCGCTACACATCTTAATTGTGATGGTGCTAGCACGGACTTAATTAGATAGTCTTAGATAATCTAATTCCGTGGTGCTATTGACTATTTCTCCTTGAGAAGAGGGTGTAGAGCTACATCAAGGGATTTAGGTTCATCAGAAGGAAACCGTTTGCCCCTCTCCTGAATCATACCTATCAATTAATCCCCTCTACTTTAGATGTCTGCTACCATTTATACCCATTACTCTTTCTTTTAGCTGGCCTGTCAGCCCTGTAATTGTTGGCCCTATCCTTTGATTTATATCATTTTTCCCCCCCCCCCCCCCTAAACATAAATCTTCATAATAGCCACATTACATTCCCATTAGTGGCAATTTAATTTTATTCTGATTTCGTCAGGGTCATGTTTATCTGACATACCGTCAGAATTAAACACAATAAATACATATTCAGTATCTCTGTTCATGTAATACGTCATATATGCCCGACGTTGACGTTACGTCAGTTATACATAACATTGACGTTACGTCAGGTATAGATAACATTGATGATATGTCAGGTATCCATAACATTGACGTTACGCCAGGTATACACGACATTGACGTTACGTCAGGTATACATTACATTGACGTTATGTCAGGGATACATAACATTGACGTTACGTAAGGTATACACAACATTGATGTTATGACAGGTATCCATAACATTGACGTTACGTCAGGTATACACAACATTGATGTTATGACAGGTATCCATAACATTGACGTTACGCCAGGTATACATAACCTTGAGGTTACGTCAGGTATACATAACATTGACGTGACGTCAGGTTACATAAAATTGACATTACGCCAGGTATACATAACATTGACGTTACGTCAGGAATCCATGACATTGACGTTATGCCAGGTATACATAACATTGACGTTACGTCAGGTATACATAACATTGACGTTACGTCAGGTTACATAAGATTGACGTTACGCCAGGTATACATAACAATGACGTTACGTCAGGTATACATAACATTGACGTTACGTCAGGTATACATAACATTGACGTTACGTCAGGTTACTACGTGATCAGGTATACATAACGTTGACGTTACGTCAGGTTTCCAATTCATGACATTGACGTTACGTCAAGTATTCATAACATTGATGTTACGTGATCAGGGCCCAGCTGTTCAAAAGGTGATAAGCTTAATCAGTGATTAGCGCAAATTTCATTTTTTGTACATCTTTAAAACACAACCATTGAATTAGTTACAACTTTCCAGATATACAAAATTCAGTAGAGTAAATTTATACCNGACGAATAATGTCAATGTAAAGTATACCTGACGTAACCTCAAGGTCATGCATACCTTCCGTAACGTCTATGTTATGTATACCTGAAATAACATCTATGTTATATATACATGATGTAACGTCAATGCTATGTATACCTGACGTAACGTCAATGTTATGTATATCTGACGTAACGTCAATGTCATGTATACCTGACGTAACGTCAATTTTATGTCTATCTGACGTAACGTCAATGTTATGTATACCTGACGTAACGTCAATGTTATGTCTATCTGACGTAACGTCAATGTTATATCTATCTGACGTAACGTCAATGTTATGTATAGCTGACGTAATGTCAATGTCATGTAAACATGACATAGCGTCAATGTTATGAATACCTAACGTAACGTCAATGTCATATATACCTGACATACCGCCAGTGCTATGTTACGTATATCTTATTACGTAAAGTCAATGTTATAAATACCTGACATAACGTCAATGTCATGAATTGTAAACTGGACGAATAATGTCAATGTAAAGTATACCTGACGTAACCTCAAGGTCATGCATACCTTCCGTAACGTCTATGTTATGTATACCTGAAATAACATCTATGTTATATATACATGATGTAACGTCAATGCTATGTATACCTGACGTAACGTCAATGTTATGTATATCTGACGTAACGTCAATGTCATGTATACCTGACGTAACGTCAATTTTATGTCTATCTGACGTAACGTCAATGTTATGTATACCTGACGTAACGTCAATGTTATGTCTATCTGACGTAACGTCAATGTTATATCTATCTGACGTAACGTCAATGTTATGTATAGCTGACGTAATGTCAATGTCATGTAAACATGACATAGCGTCAATGTTATGAATACCTAACGTAACGTCAATGTCATATATACCTGACATACCGCCAGTGCTATGTTACGTATATCTTATTACGTAAAGTCAATGTTATAAATACCTGACATAACGTCAATGTCATGAATTGTAAACTGGACGAATAATGTCAATGTAAAGTATACCTGACGTAACCTCAAGGTCATGCATACCTTCCGTAACGTCTATGTTATGTATACCTGAAATAACATCTATGTTATATATACATGATGTAACGTCAATGCTATGTATACCTGACGTAACGTCAATGTTATGTATATCTGACGTAACGTCAATGTCATGTATACCTGACGTAACGTCAATTTTATGTCTATCTGACGTAACGTCAATGTTATGTATACCTGACGTAACGTCAATGTTATGTCTATCTGACGTAACGTCAATGTTATATCTATCTGACGTAACGTCAATGTTATGTATAGCTGACGTAATGTCAATGTCATGTAAACATGACATAGCGTCAATGTTATGAATACCTAACGTAACGTCAATGTCATATATACCTGACATACCGCCAGTGCTATGTTACGTATATCTTATTACGTAAAGTCAATGTTATAAATACCTGACATAACGTCAATGTCATGAATTGTAAACTGGACGAATAATGTCAATGTAAAGTATACCTGACGTAACCTCAAGGTCATGCATACCTTCCGTAACGTCTATGTTATGTATACCTGAAATAACATCTATGTTATATATACATGATGTAACGTCAATGCTATGTATACCTGACGTAACGTCAATGTTATGTATATCTGACGTAACGTCAATGTCATGTATACCTGACGTAACGTCAATTTTATGTCTATCTGACGTAACGTCAATGTTATGTATACCTGACGTAACGTCAATGTTATGTCTATCTGACGTAACGTCAATGTTATATCTATCTGACGTAACGTCAATGTTATGTATAGCTGACGTAATGTCAATGTCATGTAAACATGACATAGCGTCAATGTTATGAATACCTAACGTAACGTCAATGTCATATATACCTGACATACCGCCAGTGCTATGTTACGTATATCTTATTACGTAAAGTCAATGTTATAAATACCTGACATAACGTCAATGTCATGAATTGTAAACTGGACGAATAATGTCAATGTAAAGTATACCTGACGTAACCTCAAGGTCATGCATACCTTCCGTAACGTCTATGTTATGTATACCTGAAATAACATCTATGTTATATATACATGATGTAACGTCAATGCTATGTATACCTGACGTAACGTCAATGTTATGTATATCTGACGTAACGTCAATGTCATGTATACCTGACGTAACGTCAATTTTATGTCTATCTGACGTAACGTCAATGTTATGTATACCTGACGTAACGTCAATGTTATGTCTATCTGACGTAACGTCAATGTTATATCTATCTGACGTAACGTCAATGTTATGTATAGCTGACGTAATGTCAATGTCATGTAAACATGACATAGCGTCAATGTTATGAATACCTAACGTAACGTCAATGTCATATATACCTGACATACCGCCAGTGCTATGTTACGTATATCTTATTACGTAAAGTCAATGTTATAAATACCTGACATAACGTCAATGTCATGAATTGTAAACTGGACGAATAATGTCAATGTAAAGTATACCTGACGTAACCTCAAGGTCATGCATACCTTCCGTAACGTCTATGTTATGTATACCTGAAATAACATCTATGTTATATATACATGATGTAACGTCAATGCTATGTATACCTGACGTAACGTCAATGTTATGTATATCTGACGTAACGTCAATGTCATGTATACCTGACGTAACGTCAATTTTATGTCTATCTGACGTAACGTCAATGTTATGTATACCTGACGTAACGTCAATGTTATGTCTATCTGACGTAACGTCAATGTTATATCTATCTGACGTAACGTCAATGTTATGTATAGCTGACGTAATGTCAATGTCATGTAAACATGACATAGCGTCAATGTTATGAATACCTAACGTAACGTCAATGTCAT